CCTCCTTATGTTATTTCTATAACTTAGAACCTTCCAAGTTGGAAGGCTGTTGAAGTGCGCATCCAAGATTTGCAGGAGCTGTTAGCCAGTTACCTGTAGAACGTCAGTACCGTCGGTCAGTGTCGTGCAATTATTATTATTATTATTATTATTACTCATAAAAAGGACACACTTCAGGCTCATTACAAACATCTTGAAAGTTTTCGTCTTCACAAGTATACTTTCAAGCCTTCTCATCAGGTGAAATACAGGCAAGGGAAAAGGAACAGGAACAGTGGATTAAATACAGTAAGAAGGTGGTAAAACAGTTTTGGAAGCTGTATACATCCACACAAGGAAACCCAACCTTTGCAAGCAGAAACAAATCAAATTCACACTTAGGCTGTTAGGTAGGTCGTCAAAACCTCGTTAGTTACATGTATGTCCAGTGGTTGTCTCTTGTTGTCGCACTACATGTCGCGCTTATTGAGTTTTCTCGCATTTGCACCTTTGTGTCATTATTGCAATTTTCGCTGTTTACTTTAGCTATCTTCTTTCTTTCTTTCTTTCTTTTTGCGCTGTTTTACCACCTTCTTACTGTATTTAATCCACTGTTCCTGTTCCTTTTCCCTTGCCTGTATTTCACCTGATGAGAAGGCTTGAAAGTATACTTGTGAAGACGAAAACTTTCAAGATGTTTGTAATGAGCCTGAAGTGTGTCCTTTTTATGAGTATTATCGCATTTTTGTCTCAGAGGAAACTGTTTACCTATTATTATTATTATTCTCAATTCATGGATGACATGGTGTCATCCAATATAATGAATGAGGGCTACCAGCCATGGAATAAACAGAACAAGAAGGCAAAATGCACACGCAAAATATGTTATCGCATGAGATGATTGTTTAGTAACTGGTGGTGTTAGTGGACAGTATAGCGTAACTTGTTGTTTCTTGGTCCTTTCTCTTTTGTATAAGGCCACACGTTTTTATTTCTATGTTTCTCGTCACCTGAAAATCTAAAAACGTATACGAGAGGTGGAAAAAAATAAAAATGACCAAAAAATAAATAAAGTTTACTAGACCTTTGTTCACACTAAAATCCACCAATACACCATGCAAAAAGCATCCATGGTTTGCAACTACACTGTAGTATGTGGTAGGAGCTTCTATCACAATCTGTGCATGTGCAGCTAGATTGCGCACAACAAATGCCGACCTCGCATCATGTGTCGCGCAGGCCAGGCCACATTATGTACATGTGCATGAGTGTGCTGGTCCCCACATGCACAGTCAGTGCAGCACAGTTTTTTTTTCTTTTTTTCTTCCAGACTCCTGAATCGTATGCGTGCGGGTGACGAGAAACATAGAAGTAAAAACGTGTGGCCTAAATTAAAAAAAATATGAAAAAATATATATATTTGCCACATCAATGGAACTCGTTCGCTCGCTCGATAGCTTGCTCGTTCGTTGAACTGTTCGCTCGTTTGTTATAGATACGCTCCTTTCAACACTAGTTGAAACACACTGTAGTGACACACAGATCGCACTGCCCACGGTTCCTTCAAGCACCGAAGTGACAGCCAAAACGGTTCCTTTCCCATTGCTGCCATACGACAGGCTGAGAAAGCAAGAGATACTCTACGCCAGCAGCTAGACACCAGCAAATGTTAGCTCAAGTAACGCAGCAGCTCTCGAGTGATGCAGGGTTGAATGAACTCTGGACCTGTAAAAGCGTGAGCGCCAGAACGCGCTTCCTTGCTGACTTATTATATTTTGCTTGTAACTTTGCTTCCCTTCTTCGACTCGCTTCACCAGATTCCATTGCTGAATTTTTTTCTTCTGGCGGAGAGTATTCATGTATCATGCTTCCTCACTATGCCTATTGGAAATTTCACAGAGCGGTAACAAAACTCCTGTTCTTAGTGGCGATAGATGAGCGACAATTGGGATGAGCCGGACCAAGTATGTGCGTGAGGGTGTGTGTATACATGTGTGGGTATGTGTGTATGCATATGGAGGTATTTATGTATGTATGTATTTGTGTCTGGTGCCTTTGACCGTTGCAAACCTATGCTCAGCTTTGAGTAATACCAAGACTAAAAGGTTGAAACTCTGAGTACAGAGTCGTAGTCGTGTGTTACTCGTATTGCACAATTGATATGCACAGATGAAGACACAAATTGAGACAAGGAAATCATTAACCTTTTAATTGATGTACGTTGTAGAATTTAAACAATCGACGTACAATTTAATTTATAAAAAGAACATCAGCTGTGCACTGACAAAGACAAGAGCATACAGTCCATGGCAGAAAAATGGAGTGAGCGCAATGCGAAACTTAGAGATAGCGTCGGTACCCAAACAAGTGAAGCAGGTACAGATACGCTGGCGTCTCGGAGAGATCATGGGTGGGTGTGAATTGTCACTGGGCGCTATGTAGGCAAGTTACGTAATGAAAGCAGTGCACCGCGCACTAATCCATAACCACACGTTTGTATACTCTTGATTATGGACCTTTGTAAACTGCAGCACCAGACTATGTATGTACATGTATGACTGCAATACCAGGCACTGATGTAAAGATTACAATGCCTAAGTGGTCGATACAAGCGGTCAATACAAGCGGTCGATACAAGCGGTCGATACACGCGGTCGATACAAGCGGTCGATATTACAGCGATATGGGTAATATAGGACCAGTCAAGGATCACAAGAATTGGTGGAGGGCGATATAGAAGGGTGATATGCTTGAATATAACATCAGCCACTGGTATGTGCATGAGGGCGAAGTACTGAACACTTCAATTGAGTGAGCGTTCTATTTATTGCCGGGTTATTGCCAGGTTAATGCCGGGTTATTGCCGGGTTATTGCCGGGTTATTGCCGGGTTATTGCCGGGTTATTGCCTGGTTATTGCCTGGTTATTGCCAGGTTATTGCCGGGTCATTGCCGGGTTATTGCCTGGTTATTGCCTGGTTATTGCCGGGTTATTGCCTGGTTATTGCCTGGTTATTGCCTGGTTATTGCCGGGTTATTGCCGGGTTATTGCCGGGTTATTGCCGGGTTATTGCCGGGTTATTGCCGGGTTATTGCCGGGTTATTGCCGGGTTATTGCCGGGTTATTGCCGGGTTATTGCCGGGTTATTGCCTGGTTTTCATTTTCATTTTGGTTCTTACTTCCTGGCTTCACTCGGTTGGTTTTGTCTCCACGGTAGCAGATAATGCCACGTATGACTACAGTGCCTGATACTTGTATGTATGTGTATGTGACTATGCACTCCTCTGACCACAGAACATCACGGTTTGTGTTGAAGGTGTCAGCGTTGCACCACTGCTCAAGGATCCTCAGCAAACATGGAAGAAGGTAAGACGTCTGGCAGGCTGTATGCCTAGACCTGTGTTAACTATTGCCAGTGAATACTAGCATAGATCAGTGGTTTGTTATCAAGGATATCACAAGAGAAATATCGGAAGCTTTGTTACAACTCTGAGTTTCACGTATTGCTACGATCATCAGGCAACTGATGGATCCAAAACGGGCCGCCAGAACATAAGGGGGAGCAAGGTGGGAAATTCTGAGGGGTATCATAGGCGACTCCGGCGCGTATCATAGCGCAAGAGTCAGGTGCAGGCATGAAGTTGCCAAGTCTTGAGACTTGGGGCTATGCAGCAGCAGCAGCAGTTCCGGCGTGAATGATACCGTGAAGCACACCACTTGACCACATCAAGGATATCATGTGCTTGCTCTCCGTAATAAGAGTCAACAACTAACTCCCTTCAGATACATGATAGGCCAAAGTGTTCAGCAGGCTAGGGGTCAGGGAAAGCCTGTTCCCTTTTTGGATTATTTCTGGATTAGTGATGGCAGACAAGCTGCCCATAGCAACAGCAGACTCAGCTGCACTAGCACAATCTGTGATCTCAGCTTATCAAGACGGCTAAAAGACGTAAACGAGGCATCGCCTTGTCGTGAACCTACTTGTGGAGTTGTGCACTTCTGCTTCTGGCATATGCTGTTGCCATAAACACAGGCACCAGGCGGCAAAGTGGACTAGAATGTCTACGTTCGGTAACATCTTGGTTGTTTGCGTGACAAACATATTCCCAAGTTTCCTTTGTTTGACACCATGACAACTCCGCAGGGCATGCTACGCTATAGGTGTCTCTTTGCACTCAAGGAGGAACTCTTTTTTCCCTAAAGCAATTTATACATTCGACAATGGCTGGTGACTTGTGCCCGTGTCCCCATAGAGACAATGTTTAGCAACTGTCTCCACTGTAGCTAATATCCAGATATATACTGCGATATGCACAGCAGTTACTTCACTAAACGCCGGCACGGGGGTAGCTGTGATCAAGGAGGCAGCTCACTCAGGATGAGGCCCCTCTATTGGGGCTGAGGCCTGCGATTTTCCCAAACATGGGAAACTCGGGTGCCCATTTTTTTTATAGTGGGGGTTTGCGTTTCCGCAGCCCCCGTAATATTTAAGAAAGGCTAGCTCAATTTTCCCTTTTTTGTCTCTTTCTTCTGCTATATGCTACGAAATGACCTTTCATTTCCTTTATCATTGATGAAGCCTATTCGATTTCCCATCATTGACCACTTTATTGTGGGTTTAGTCTACTCACATACCACCGAGTTTTACTTACGCTCTGGTATAGCAACGATCTACTTTGCTGAAACAAAACTGCATTCAGGGTACCTAGTGCAAAACTTTGTGCCACTGGTGTAATGAAAAGAAATAACCACTTTACACATACCACCGCTTTAGGCGCTGCATCTTCACCTTTATCGTTGATTATTATTATTATTATTATTACTATGAAATGACCCAAAGACAATATGCCTATCGAGGGGTTGATTTGATTGAAAGAACAGTACTACTACTAGTATGTACAAAGACAAGTAGGGATTGATGAGGAGAGAAACGGAGAACATCAACTGCAAGGTGGCGGAATTCCGTTGCTTGCTAATTTCTGTCTTTGTTTGACCGTGATGCCCTGAATCGCTAACTGATGTGTGTTGTAACATAGGCTCAACTCTGCTTTCCTTTCCTCTTCCTGTCTCATCCCATCAAAACATACAACTTACCAAATGGAAACATGCCTCGTAGCAATTGTGGCGTGGAAGACGTTTGAACTGTAAGGAGCTTGATGAATCGTTCCCACTCGCCTCACGCTCCTTCCTATGCCCTTGAGAACGCGTGACCATTACACATACAGTGGGGTGCAGAGAGGCTACAAAGCCTTGAAACATAGCAATCGTGAAGTGTACTGTAAGACATGTTATTATAACGAGTCGCAAATTTACGATTGTCCAAAATTCATAGGTTAACGAGAAAGTACGTTAACGAACTTGCAGTATTCTGCCGTATCCACACACAGCATATATGAAGCAGTACGGCCTCAACGGATCATAATTATAACGAAGAAATATCATCCGTTAAAACGTTAAATTTACTTCCTCGTTATATATACATGTCTTACAGTGGTGCGCATTCTCTGAGGAGCTTTCCGCCTACTTATGTTTGTACGGTCAGCTATCGTCATGTGCACTTTATTCTTAAAAAGATGATATCCTAGCTTTAAAAAGAGGCAGGCATCGTGGGATCGTCTAAGACCATGATTGAGAAACAGAGGGTACCAGGTTCAAGTCCTGCTTTCAAGCGGAAGGATTTTTTCCAGCCGTGCTGCGACCCACAGTTATTGGGAACTCGTGGCCTGGCACGAGAGAAGCATGGATGCAGCGAATGGGATTTTCTGTCTTTGACCACTTTGGTGGTGGGTCTGATCTACTCACCTTCCACCACTTTAGGAGCTACATCTGCAACTTGATACTTGAGGGTGGTAGCGTCCCAGCTGATGCGGAAAATTCGGTCCAGCCGAGTCTCACGCGAACTGCGAATCTTTCTTTCTTTTTCTAACGTTAGCTTTGAAAAGAAAGAGAGGACCATAAGTTTACAAGTTGTCCATTTTGTCCAACACTAACGATTATAATCAGGATAATGCAAGATTTTTTTGATTTTTATCCTTGACTCTCCATCCGAGTTTAATCCTAGCTTTTGGCCATAAATTTTGGCAAATTTTGAGTTTTTTCACAATCATTATGCGCTTCCCCGGCCGCCTTGAAATGCTCTTCCAATTCTGTTTTTGAAGGAGGTTGCCAGAGCCAGTGCTGATCTCGATATGAATGGTCTGTATGCCATATTCGGGTGACGTGCAGTAGCCAATGTCCGGGTCTATCCCAAACTGCTGTGACTGGTTCTGTCATTTGGTGTTTTTTCCCTATTCGCTGCAGGCTGCATTCTCTCAGTATCCAAGGCCAAACAGCGGACTCACCATTCTTCCAAATCACACATTCCCAAAAGGTCCCGGCGAGGCTGTGATGGGTTACACTGTCCGCACACATCAGGTAGGCAGCTGACACATGGTATTCACGTCTTCTATTTTCACGGCTATGTATGAGCCAGGAAGGGACAAGAAAGAGAAAAGGAAAAAAAGAATGATTGGAAATTCATGTCAATAGGCAGCGTAGTACAATTACAGTACCGTAAAGCAATAAACTTCCACGGCGTGCATATTGGCCGTTTTCACGAATTGGGCTGGTTAACGATGAGGAACTTTTGCGATTCTGTATCTTCAGACGGATCTTGTACTGTCTACAATCAATTTACGGAGACGTTTGTGGCGATTTATATTCGCGAATGTGCGATGGACGCGAAAATAGCGAAATGTAATATCTAGCGAAAGTTTCTCACTTAACAGCACCACTGTCTTGGACATTGAAATCCGATGAGGTGATGGGGGCCGGCGCCCATATTGCTTTCAGCGCATACATGCACTGATGAGGTGACGGGGGCCGGCGACCATATTGCTTTCAGTGCATACATGCACTGATGAGGTGACGGGGGCTGGCGCCCATATTGCTTTCAGCGCATACATGCACTGATGAGGTGACGGGGGCCGGCGACCATATTGCTTTCAGTGCATACATGCACTGATGAGGTGACGGGGGCCGGCGGCCACATTGCTTTCATCGCATACATGCACTGTACTTCACGTACATACTGTTAAAGTCGACCAGCTGTGCTGGCGAATACAAGGCCTTGCGTCGTGTGGCCGCTAGACTTCTCAACGGGTTCCAATGTCCGCTACGGTAGTAGTAAATGAACTAGGTATTAAATGTAGAAGTCGTGAAAAGTATGGGTCTTAATTTGGTATTGCGAAGCTCATTCCAGAGAATGTCAAGGCTGCTGATATTACCATTGCAATCAATCAAAATCTTCATGCTGGAAAAGTGTAGAAAGGAGAAAGAAAAATTTGATATGTGTTATAAGTGAATGTGCTCTGTCTGCACTTATTTTACTCTCTCTCTCCCTCTCTCTCCCTCTCTCCCTCTCCCTCTCTCTCTCTCTCTCTCTCTCTCTCTCTCTCTCTCTCTCTCTCTCTCTCTCTCTCTCTTCTTTCTCTCTTTCTTTCTCTCTCTCTCTCTCTCTCTCTCTCTCTCTCTCTCTTCTGCTCGCTCTTTTGTCCGGTTGTTCCTCATGTCTGTGTCTGATCCTGTGTCTGTGTCCGTGTCTGTGTCCGTGTCTGTGTCTGTGTCTTTGTCCGTGTCTGCGTTGGCAGTGGCGCTACACTGAATGGGTTCGTTTCAATCACACAAACGCCATCCCCAACTGGACCGAGGTCTGGGGCAGAGAGCTTTACGACCACTCCACTCCGTCGACCAACTACAACGATGAGAACGTGAACAAGGCTTACGAGAGAGGAGTGGAGGGGGTTATTGTGCAGTTGAAAGAGACATTAGTGGCTGGCTGGAGGGATGCTCTTCCACCGCACATCAAGCCAGACCCCGGTCGTTCCACAGCATAGATGTTAAAGGCAACATGAGCATGACTACTTCTTACAGTATAATTATCTGTCCCTTTTACCTGCATGTTTTTCCTCTAGATATGATGCCGTGTCGAAGTTTCAAAAGAGCCATTCGTGACTGTCGAGGCTTGTTGCATGAATTGCGCAGTACCATTGCATGCTGCAACTGTCATTATGTGATATCGAGTGGCCAGCTCCGGTTCCAGCACTGCTGACCGCATCCAGGACTCACTCAAGTCCTTTACACTGGTGCACGGACCAGTTCGCACGACATTTCCCTTTTCACAGAAAGACACCTGCCTCCTGCCAGTGCATGCCATAGGTATGTTGTACATATGTGTGTGTTTGTGTGTGTGTGTGTGTGTGTGTGTGTGTGTGTGTGCGTGTGTGTGTGTGCGTGTGCGTGTGCTTGTGAGTGTGTGCGTGTGCGTGTGTGTGGGTGTGTGTGGGTGTGATCTGTTTCAGTGCCGCATGTGATATGTATGTTGTTTATCATTGTGATCTGTTTCAGTGACATCAGTGATGTTCTGCTACACGTGAAATGTAGAGAAGTCACGTAGAGAGCAGGTGCCTGGGTTAGAGTCTACAGCTTCAGGTGTTTTGGGTCCAGATTTCTACACTGAGATGAGGTTCTGCACAGTGTGGCACACGCAAATACAGTAAAACCTGTAACTAAAGACCACCATGACTAGCGACCAGCCTGGTACTACCGACCACTTCGCCAGGCACGGACGGTCTCACATTCAAAATGCACTGTGACTAGCGACTACCTGACTAATTCCACAGGCGTAGATCACCACAAGTAAAGTTCCAAATCAGGGAGTCGTAAAATATATGGGTATTTTACGACTCCCTGTTCCAAATCCACAGGCGTAGATCACTCACAAGCAGGTATTGTACTACTCCCTGCTCACAAGCAAAGTTCCAAATCCACAGGTGTAGATCACTCGAAAGCCGCCAATACCCGGAAATAGCCCTTGGCGGATTATGCCGGCATAATATTTGGCATAATCTTGGGATTTCGTCAAAAAATTATGCTCCGGCATAGTATACGATAAAATGATCAGCTGTAGCACCTACTCCACTTTTATGTTTATGTATCTATGTCATTCGGATCTTCCCAAGTTGTACATTGTACTGTTGAGATACCGAATTCAAATAAATAAATCAATACAATACGGATTTCAACGTGTAAGGTCGGCATAATCTTTCGGTTTAGACAAAAATTATGCTTAGCCTTAGGGGCATAATACAGCTTTGTCAGAAAGCTTGCAGATGTTTTTTTTAAATACCCCAGCTACGACTCCTTGTCATAGCCCTTGGCGGATTATGCCGGCATAATATTTGGCATAATCTTGAGATTTCGTCAAAAAATTATGCTCCGGCATAATATACGGATTCCAACGTGTAAGGTCGGCATAATCTTTCGGTTTAGACAAAACAGTCATATGCTTAGGGCATGGCCGGGTGTGTATGCGTGGTTTCTCAATCCTTTATGTACAGCGTGAATACATAGTGGAACAGAGCATAATTCAGTATATTTGTTGGCATAATTGTGGCATAATCAAAAGCATAATTTGACGATTGGCCGAGCATAGTCCGCCAATGGCTACCCGGAAACCTTTAATAATTTCAACATAGTTCTATCCAAGAGTGCACGACGTCCTCACTTTTACCTCCTGCCCACTCACACTGGTCCCTGTTTCCGCTCCACTCTACTACATTCCATGATCACCACGTGGAACTCCCTGCCTACCGAGATTAGGATATCTGAAACCCGTGGTGTATTTAGCCGCCACGATACGTCCCATTTCCATAGCTATAGATTCCATCCTCGAGGTTTTTCCACTTCAAGATTACCCTCCTTCTTTACCAGTACCCTTTTTCGCTTGCTTCTACTCGGACTTCTTAATTAATCTCTTCACGTTAATCTTTCTTTATGTCTTAAAATATTTTCTTCCTTTTAAAAATTGCACCCTATTGTACACGTATTGTACACGTATATTAATTATATTTTAGTCTCGGAGACCCCCTTGATTTAGGCTTCGTCCTTTGGGAAATCCCTCAAATAGGTTTTTTTTTAAAGGGGAAGATAAGGCAAAAATTAAATTTTCACCAGTTGTAGTCTTCGGGGTGCTGAGTCGAATGGTCTTGGTCCGAGGAAGCTGCGACGCTCCTTTCCTACTTGAATCCCAATCGAACTCGCGCACTTCCACCGAAACTGGGTGACTGCGCCCTACTAGATGGGGATTTGTATGCAAAATGTCACTAAAAGCGCCATTTCGTTCTTATAAAAGCACGGATGACCGCGATTGGCCCATATGTTGTAGTCTTTTGGACGCTGAGTCGACTGGTTTTGGTCCGAAAAGGCTGCGATGCAGCATTCCTCCTTTATTCCCAATCGAACATGGTTGAAGAAGCGGTCACGTGGTCCTGGTTGCCCAAATCACCTGGTCACCGCGCCAGCAGGCGACAACTTTCACACCAAGGTTCAACTCGAGTGACAGGACTGCACCCAAAAAAGGTCAAACAGGCTAGTAAGTTGTACCCTGCAGGCACGGTGACCAGGTGACTGGTGTACGCAGGAGCACGTGACCGCTTGTTCAGCCATGTTCGATTGGGAATAAAGGAGGAACGCTGCATCGCAGCCTTTTCGGACCAAAACCAGTCGACTCAGCGTCCAAAAGACTACAACATATGGGCCAATCGCGGTCATCCGTGCTTTTATAAGAACGAAATGGCGCTTTTCGTGACATTTTGCATACAAATCCCCATCTAGTAGGGCGCAGTCACCCAGTTTCGGTGGAAGTGCGCGAGTTCGATTGGGATTCAAGTAGGAAGGGAGCGTCGCAGCTTCCTCGGACCAAGACCATTCGACTCAGCACCCCGAAGACTACCACTGGTGAAAATTTAATTTTAGGGTATACTTCCCCTTTAAGAAAAAAGAAGCAAATTTCCAAATCCACAGGCGGATATTACCCACAAGCAAAGTTCCAAATCCGCAGGCGTAGATCACTCCAAAGCAAAGTTCCAAATCCACAGGCGTAGATAACCCCCAAGCAAGTTCCAAATCCACAGGCGTAGATCACCCCACGCAAACCCTCCGCTACCCTCCTCCCTTGCTGAGCAGGGGAGCATGGGAGCAGCTCCCCTGCTCCTCAGCTCCTCTGCGCCACTGCTCCAGGACCAGGACCAGGACCAGAACCTGGACCAAGACCAGGACCAGTAACAGAGGAGCCGAGGAGCAGAGAAAATGAGGAGAAGACGAGCAGAAGAGCGGAGAAGCAAAGGAGCAGAAGAGCAGAGGAGTGGAGGAGTAGAGGAGCAGAGGAGTAGTGACGCAGGGTAGCAAAGGAGCGAAGCAGCGGAGGAGCGGAGAAGTGGAGGAGTGGAGGAGCGGAGGACCACAGGACCTGAGGTCCCGGTCCTGGTCCTGGTCCTGGCAATGGTCATGGTCCTCGTCCTCGTCCTCGTCCTGGTCTTAACTCGGCCTCGTCCTGGTCCTGGTTCTGGTCCTGGTTCTGGTCCTGGTCCTGGTCCTGGTCCTGGTCCTGGTCCTGGTTCTGGTCCTGATCCTGATCCTGATCCTGGTCCTGGTCCTTGTCTTGGTCCTGGTCCTGGTCCTGATCCTGATCCTGATCCTGGCCCTGGACCTGGTCCTCGTCCTGGTCCTGGTCCTAGTCCTCGGGTCCTCTGGTCCTCTGCTCCTCTGCTCCTCTGGTCCTCCGCTCCTCCGCTCCTCCCCTCCTCCGCCCCTCCGCTCCTCTGCTCTAATGCTTCTCTGCTCCTCTGTTCCTCTGCTCCTCTGCTCCACTGCTCCTCTGCTCCTCTGCTCCTCTGCTCTTCTGCTCCTCTGCTCCTCTGCTGCTCAGCTCCTCTGCTCCTCTGCTCCTCTGCGCCTCTGCTGCTCTGCCCCTCTGCTCCCCTGTTCCTCTTCTCCTGTGCTTCTCTGCTCCTATGCTCCTGTGCCCCTCTGCTCCTCTGCTCCTTTGGTCCTCTGCTCCTCTCGTCCTGGTCTTGGTCCTGGTCCTGGTCCTGGTCCTGGTCCTCGTCCTGGTCCTGTCCTGGTCCAGGTCCGACTCCTGGTCCTGCTCCTGGTCCTGCTTCTGGTCCTGGTCCTAGTCCTGGTCCTGGTTCTGGTCCTGGTCCTGGTCCTGGTCCTGGTCCTGGTCCTGGTCCTGCCCCTGATGCTGGTCCTGGTCCTGGTCCTAGACCTGAGGGGCGGAGGAGCGGAGGACCAGAGGACCTGAGGACCTGAGGAGCAGAGGTCTTGACGAGCAGAGGAGCACAGGAGCAGAGAGGCAGAGGAGCCCAGGAGCAGAGGAGAGGTCCTCCTGGTCCTCCTGCTCCTCCTGGTCCTCCTGCTCCCCTTGTCCTCTGCTTCTCTGGTTCTGGTCCTGGTCCTGGTTCTGGTCCTGGTCCTGTTTCTGGTCCTGGTCCTGGTTCTGGTCCTGGTCCTGGTACTGATGCTGGTCCTGGTTCTGGTCCTCCTGGTCCTCGTGGTTCTTGAGGTCCTCCTGGCCCTCCTTGTCTTCCTGAGCCTCCGTGTCCTCCTGGTTCTCTGGTCCTCTGGTCCTCTGCTCCTCTGTTCCTCTGCTCCTCTGCTCATCTGCTGCTCTGCTCCTCCGGTCCTCCGGTCGTCCGGTCCTCCGGCCCTCCGCTCCTGGTCCTGGTCCTCGTCCTCCTGGTTGTCCTGGTCCTCCTGGTCCTCTTGGTCTTCCTGGTCACCCTGGTCCTCTGGGCCTCTGGGCCTCTGGTCCTCCTGATCCTCCTGGTCCTCCTGGTCCTCTGCTCGAATGCTCAACTGCTCCCCAGATCCTCTGGTCCTATGGTCCTCCGCTCCTCCGCCCCTCCGCTCCTCCGCTCATCTGCTCGTCTGGTCCTCTGCTCGTATGCTCCACTGCTCCTTTGCTCCTCTGCTCCTTAGGTCCTCTGGTCCTCCGGTCCGCCGGTCCTCCGTCCCTTCGCCCCTCCGCTCCTCCGCTCCTCCGCTTCTCTGCTGCCCCCCTCCTCTGCTCCTCTGCTCCTATGCTCCTCTGCTCATCTACTCCCCTGCTCCCCGGGTCCCCTGCTCACCTGCTGCTGTGCTCCTGTGCTACTGTGCTTCTCTGCTCCTCTGCTCCTCTGCTCTTCTGCTCCTCTGCTCCTGTGCTCCTGTGTTCCTGTGCTCCTGTCCTCCTCTGCGTTTCGGATCATCTGCTCCTCTGCTCCTCTGCTTCTCTGCTCCTCCGCTCCCCCACTCCTCCGCTCCTCCGCCCCTCCGCTACCCTGCTGAGCAGGTGAGCAAGGGAGCGGGAAAGCAGCTCCCCTGCCGCCTGCTCTTCTGCTCCTC